TGTTACTACTAGTAAGGCACTTGTTACTACTAGCGATGCACTTGTTTATAGTAGCTTCTTGTTACTACTAGTGATGCACCTGTTACTGCCCCGAACGTAGCTGTCCTACGGATCCAACACGACCAGTTTTGGAGATGTGGATTGCTGAATATGTGGATCGGCTTACAAGTAACACGTATGACAGCTGATCAACTCAAAACATTTGTTGAAGTGATATAATATGATTTGATTCAATCCTACCCCCCAAATTGGCACTTTGTGGTCATCTATTTGTCTTCAAACCCCACTCTGTCCTTTCCGGCTAATGCTTGAAGCGCCAAACGTTTGGAAGACGGGTCCTGAGTGTTGGCTTGTCAATGCAACCCAGCCGAGACCAGGCTTGTGTCAAGAATAATGCGGCAAACAATAATCAAAGTGTGCTCCATTGCTGGAAATGCTTTGAAATATATTCTGACTCATCGCCCGATCGTGCGTGTTTCTGGATATTAAAGAGACACCTGAACTGTCACGCCACCCCCTGGCGCTCGATACAAATCGATCCACGTCGTCGGTCTTTTCTCCTTGTGCATTCATAGATGTTCATGGAATTTTGTTGTATCCTTTCGAGGGTAGCTATTGGAATGGCATACTGGCATAGAAAGAACACAAAAGACCTTCTACGATATCTGCTGCAAGCCGAGACCCAGAACCCCAACCACCCCATCTTGTCTGTACTCCAAAAATCCCCTGCCATGTCTTGCTGGTTGACGATGGTCTTGAGTGCGTCCTCGCGATTTACTGGAATCGGGTGGACCTGATTGACACTGCCACAACATGTCCAACACATACTGTCACAGACCAAGAATATCAATGAGTTGTATGTATATCGAGTGGACATGTGTGAGGAGGAACCAGAGATTTTGGGGACATGTTTCCAGAGGGTGGAAAGTTTCCTGCAAAAGGTTGGCAATTTGGTACAGTAAATATATATTTATAACTGTACTGCAGGTTTTACACTGATGTGACATGTCTTGACAATTTTTGTGTGCAGACTGAAGGTAGTCTTCCCAAAACAATTGACCTAAATGTTCAAGCAAATGCTGCGTCTCAAAATACTTCCCTCGCGCACATGCCCTAGTCTTCAAGCTGCACCTGCACCCAACGCAACCGACTCCGATGATGATGTATCTATTGAACATCCTGCGCTCAGTTCGTGTCCAAGCTCCCCCCTGAACCCCCCAAAGTCCAAACCCAGTCACAGCTGATCTTCAACGCGCACTCCTTAATAGCATCTCGAATCTGCTTGGTAGGTCGCTTGCCCTTACCATCATGTGCATAGTGGCAAAAGGCACACTGAGCCCAAGCGCATCCACGGCGACTGGCAAAGTAGACGCATGGGTTGCACCTCCCAGCATTGTGCTTGGCAAGACCTAGGATGCAAAATATGGCGCATGAAATATGGCTGTTGCTGCTGCTTGGCATCAGAAAAATACTCCCGGCTGGGATCCCTTGAGGCTCTTGAGATTTCAGGATTTGGAAACAAATGTGGGGTTCCTTCTTCTATCCCCCAGCCACAAATGCAATGTGTTCTTTGAGCGACTTGCTTGAGCGTCTCTTGTTCTTGTCTCGATTTGAAGGTTAGGCCCCATGTTCTTGACTTTCAGGCAACCAAAAGGCGTCGTTGCAGTGTTTCACGCGTCGCAAATGACTTGTCTGAGTTGCCCCCTTAAGTGTCTTGGCAAGGACATCTAAACTCTAAACACGTCTACAGGCACAGGCACATAGATTGGGCACTTGTTCATGACACATGCACTTTTTCCACAAGGTCTTAAGGTAGTCTCCACTTTTCCGCCAGGTCGCTGTACGTTTCCCCTCGTGGGGTTGAAGTTTCACCTCCTGAGATTGAAACTCCGGTCCCATCACTGCCGACGCGGCCTGGCAAACCACCCGTTATCGGCAAACTGAATGCGTTCTCCAGGTCAGTGGGGTCGCCCATGGACCAGGAGCTGCACCGCTTGAACTCCTCCTCACACCCCAAAATGGGCACCCCAAAGCGGTGAGAGACGATGGTCTTGTTGGTGGGCCACACAAGCCAGTTTTCGGAAGCAGGTGGCCGCACCTGTATGTCACGGTGAATTTTCATCTATAGCGAGAATTGCTGTGGATCGTCTCTATCTTATTCTTCTTTGGCAACCTCGTTCTTCAAGACTTGGCACCGACACAAAGGCCTGGCCAGACTATTTGAGAGACACCCCAACTCGTTTTCCCCAGAGAAAACCCTCGAAGGCAGCTTCCCATGTTGGGTTTAAGATCACTCCAGCAGCGTTGCTTCCGCCGCAAGGCTTTAGGTGTGATGCCTCTGCTTTTCTCCAACACCCAGCTGATTTAAGGGTTCTATTGACAGTGACAAGGATGTGTATTATAACTATATATTTATCCCGTTGTGTCTGCGAATGGGACTGCCATGGAATCCATCAATCACTGTAGTATTAGCTGGTCGAAGCACAAACACATGCTGGTCGAATGACTGGTCCTGCGGAGCACCAAAATGGATGAAGGTGTGTTTGACCTGAATCTCATACTTCTCTTCCATGGCACCAAAGAGTTCCCCGAGCGTAAAGGACGGGCTGCTTGGGAAGCACGACGAGTCCAAGTCTAAAAACGGCTCCGGCGCTGTGTCCGTCTTCATCGTGCCGTTGTCATCGGTCGATCTCCAAGAGTTGACAGGGGAGATCGGATCGGCAGGTGTGGGCTGGCTATCTTCAACCTTGTGCAATCTGCTTCAGTGTCTCCAAATGTCTTCAATTGTCTTCACTTAAGCTTAAGCATACTGAAGCCATTGTAGGCTACTCTTCAAAGTCACACTCTCAGTACCTCACTGCTGAGGTGTCCACCTCTTCTTTGAAGACAAGCATCGAACTGGCATGGGGACCATTACTGTAAAGCCAATTCGTTTCAGTCTCCTGTCACAGCAGGTCCTTCTTTTGCGAGTGTCCCTTGAAGTCCCTTGCTTCTTCACTTGGCATCGATCTGCGAACCGAACCTAATGCAACTCAATACGCCCCAAGATCTGATTTGACGCACTTGCCCACCCGATTGGATGTTCTCCCAAAATTGCATCGGCGTCGATCATCAACATGCATCAACTATAGGCGGCCATATAGGAAGAACCACATCAATCAATATTAGCCAATTTCAATACAGTTTTCTAGGATCATCTTCTTGTTCTGGAAAACAAAGAAACACACCACTGGAGCTGGCAAGGTTGGAGCTGGCATGGGTTCCATCACCGTTGGCCGGCCACGGCCACGTCCACCAATGGCTGACCGATCGACGCCTCTGAAGTGACGTCCAGCTTCAAGGAAGGCCAGGAGCCGTTCCTGCTCCTCCGGACGCGGGTGGCGTACCCATTGACAGGGTCGTGCCTGGTGAAAGCAAAATGCAAGTGAGATGGGGGACGGGGTCATGGCACTCCACACATCTCTCACGGATTTCAATTTGTTTGGTGTTGCTCCCAGACACATCCATTTGCGTCCTTTGGCGTCTGTGAACCGATCTTTACTCCGACGGCAGCGGTCTCCGGTCTGCTCAAAGAGTGGTCTAGAGTCTAGACCAGCGAACCATTGGCACTTTTTCACCAGAACTTGATTTAGAGAGACATCAAAGATCATGCAGAAAACAGCGCCCGCTCCAGGGACCGTTTTCTGGGCCCTATATGATCCAACATTCTACAGTGCCCAATGACACCCCCTCATCTCCACTCCACCACAGCACTCCTCTCCCCCCTCCCCGACTCGCTTGTCGCTCCTGTACCTCTCCGGCGAGGCCCACGGCCAGCTGCGCCTCGCGCGCGAAGCGCTCCAGGCATCGACGCTCCTCCGCGTCCAGGACGGACCTCCAGGCACCGCCACGACTCCTCCGAACGCGCCAGCGGAAAACATCCGAACGGGTGCTTGTTTGGAGGGGGGTCGTAAAGGCGGAGGGTTGCATGTTCTCAAGCTGAAGGGCTGGTGGAGTTTTGTGTGGAGTTCCGTTTTGTCCTGGTGTTCTGTTGGATCCGCTCATCGAGATTGCCAGAGGTCCAACGGGTCACAACATGTCCTGGTGTTCTGTTGTCGAGATCTGTTGGCCTTTCGTTTCTTTCGCCATGAGAAGCATCAAACTCCAAGCATCTATTTGAGGTGAGATCAAGAAGCAGGGGGCTGCGCTGCAAAAGAGTGGACTTCCATATTGTACTCACTGTCTGGTTCAAACACAGCTAACCATTAACCCCTGGAAAATCTATGTATTGACGACGCTGAAAATTTACGTTAAAACACCATAAACATTATTCCTTTATATATATAGAACATTCAAGAGCCAAATGCCCAAACCTCTCGACAACAGGCTGACAATCTCCAGATCCCTGCTGCTGCGACACTGCAAGTCAGCTCGGCGAAAGACCTGCAGTTGTGGAGGTTGAAACCACATATCAGCGAACCTGCATTGACTGTTCCTGGGGGGAGATCTCCTGAGCTGAGATCGGGGGGCGTTGCAGAGATGTTGACCCATGTTGACCCTAAATTTTGTTGGATGCTTTAAACAAGTATATAGTATTATTCAGGTTTCAGGTATATTATGTATAATGTGTATTAGTTGATCTCAGTCTAAACCGATCTAATCAGCATGCACCATCCATTCAGCTAGAACGGTGGAACTTGTGACACTAGTCCGCCAATGTTTCACCATGTTTCACCTCCGGTGAAGAATGACAAGCTGGGCCCATCCAGACAGGAAGTCTGACAGACTAAGTCCTTACCACACTGGTGGCAGAACTACACCGAACTAAGCATCCTCCAGCTGCCAGAGTTCCAGCAATCACTAGACCCCTTTTTTCAGCGGTGCCCCATGCAAAACCATGAGTCGCGAGAAGTGCAATCTAGTTCATTGAGTTCATTTTGCGATCTCTTTGAAGAAGGTGATGCGGCTGCTGGTCAACCAATACAAAACCCACCTGGACCTCGGTCCAGCTGCCAAACCTCAGTCCACCCCAAGCAATTGCTTTCCCTGCTTACCCATCTGCAGTAGCTTAAGAAAGCAAATGGTACCTTTATCATATGGCACTTAGATAGGGATCTGTACAAGCCACCCAACTGAGGTCATTGTGCTGTCTACTCTACTCACAAGTTATCGAAGGCACGCCCAACCCCTATCATGCCCCTATGCCACTGCCTTCGCTCGGCCCGTGCGTGGCGGCCGCGCTGCCCGCGACAACGCGCTCAGCGGAACGCCGAGGAAAGCGGCCTGGCCAAAAGCAACCACAAAGCTTCTTGTGTTAAATGTACGGTGAAACAGCAAGTCTGATCAATCATGACGAATCCAATTCGCGCATCAGATGGGTGTACTGTTGTTTGTCTTCTTCAACCCAGGGGACAGAATTCGCACTTTCTGCACATCGTGCGACTCGGCTGGCGGCTGGAGCCCTCATGACCAAGCTGGTCAAAGAGCGCAAGGTGAAGATAGCACTGCAAAAGAAACAGTGCACAAAAGGGATGACCCATGTTCTCACAGGCCGATCTCAAAGGGTTTGGCACTGATCCATTCCCGCACCGAGGTTGCGTCCCCCTACCCCATTTGCCAGCCTTTGAGACAATCCGAAGGTAGAGACAATATGAGTGCGCATGGTTTTACCATGTTTTACCATAGTCGGGCTGGGAAGCTTGAATAACCAGGCAGAATGATTTGAGGGTTTCATTGGAAGAATATTGGTGAGGGTGTGATTCCCCATGCGACCTTATTCTGGCACACAATGTTCCAGGGTTGATTCGGTGGTGCGACTCGGAGGTATGAAATTGAGGTATGAAATTGGCACAAGGAGGTGCCAAAACATGACGAAAACATCGTTTGACCATGCAAAAAGGGAGAAAAAACAACATCTGTGTCTAGTCTGAGTCTAAACCCTGAACGAGTCTGCGTCGTTTTGACCGGCCACACGGAAACCTCTCCGATGTTCATCATCCGGTCGCCTCTCCGAAGGCCAGGAAGTTCGACGGATTCGTCGACGGACTCGTCTCGGTCTTGCCCCTGAGCGAGCAGTGGGGAGGCCACCGAGTGCAGGGCGACGTTGAACTATTGAACTGCAAAAGGCCCGTCTTGGGGAAGAAAAGCGAATATAGCGCAATTGAACGGGGCATTTGAATGGTTGTTGGGCGGCAGCCGCCTGGGTTGCACATGATAGTATTCTCGTCTATAATTATAGTCAGTGCATGTATATACTGTATTTATATAATAGGAAAACCCCGCAAAGACCTCTGGGAAAGTCAAACAAGCAAAGTCCATGGGTGGGAGGTCCTGCCATAAAAATACACACCCACTTACACACCCATAAACGTGATTTCACACCACATCACACCACAATGTTCAGCGCCAGCTGAGCACGAAGGGAAACCGCAGGTTCTACCTTCGAATCCGGCATTGGGTTATGCAGCCACATCCACATGTCCCATCCAAGCTACAACACATGAGGCAATGATATACAGTAACTGTATCTAGATACGGGGATCTGGCAGGGAACCATGAAGAATATTCTTAGGAGGGAGTGTCTTCTCAGCATGTTTTGAGATGTTCTTCACTCCAAAAGCTCTTACTTGTAGAACTTTCCGTTCAAGGACTTGCTGCGTGAAGTGTTGGACGGCTGCTGTAGCACATCCCCAATCGCTTCGCAACTCGACCTCGCTTCCGAACCCGCTGCTTCGACCTCACTGCCACCCGGGGCCGCCCGCTCCAGTAGAACCAGCGAATCGGCCTTCGCTCGGCCGCACCAGCGAAATCGGCCGCACCAGCGAAATTTAGACCCCGAACCGGACCCTGATGAGCAAGTGAGTGAGTGCGTGAGTGCCATGGACTGGAGGGGTCCTGGTCCTTCTTCTACCAAAATGCCCACTCAGTGGAGCCGTTCAGCTAGGTTCAATGAAGTGAAAAGGGCTCAGCCATGCTCAGTCAATGCATTTCCCCGAGTCTTAGACACGCTAGAAGGCCCGTGTCAAGCGTTGGGTTAGAACCGTTCCTCGGCAGGTTGCATACACTGAATTCACAAGTAGACTACCCAAACAAAAACGAGCGGAAATTTGCTTAGCTTCCTCTGTCAAACAATTGTTTCTGACGACTTCTCAAACTTGCTTCCAAGATCGGCAAGCCTGCATCAATCTCAAACTGCATTGTTCAAACACCTCCCTCCAGCACCAAATGGCATGAACCGGACCAGGGTCTCTAATCTCCATCCCATCGAACGCCACGAGACGCTGGCGGGGAATGCCATCCCCAAGCGTCCAAAGGACGGCGGAGCCCCGTATCACCAAGAATCGCCAAGCTCAAGACTCTTGCCACATACATCTATCATGTATATTACCCTATATACATATCATTGTCTATTTATCCATTTCTGCACACCACAGGAACTGCTGCTTCCCTGGAACTTCTGGTTTTCCGCAGCTCAACCGCTTTGGTCTTTTGATGCATCATCTCCGGCAGTCATAGTGTCAAGGGAGTCAAGAGTTCCTCATTCTTCCACTGAACCTACAAAAGAGATCAAATGAGCAAATGTAGGTTGAGTGGTCAATTGATGCCTGTGGTCTTGTGTAGGTCTTATGCCTGCGGTCAACTCCCAAGTTTCTTGAGGCTAAAGTCGCCATCCCGCTAATCCATAAGCTCTTGGTATCGCCAGATCGTCATACTTCATGGGTGGCATGTCTTCAACGAGCAGACTTGAAGAGTTTAAACAGATTTGAGGTCCATTTGTCCCGGCTAAGGCGACAAAGGATTGCAAGTGCACTTGCTTGCTAACCTTTCGGGGGGCAGTTTGGTGTATCTCCTGATACCCCTTACTCCCTTGTCTACTCCGACAGGACGGAGAGTTGCTCAGACAGGGCACCACGGAGACGGGGCACCGGGAACCCTGATTCGGCCACGACGTTGCTGGATGTCCTCATGACGTGACTCAACTTACCTGACGTCCTCAGGGCAGGTCCTTGTCAAATCACTTTCAGCACCGTTTCAGCCGAAATCCCATTTGTTGGGAGGACAAATCGTCTTGGCGGATCGGCTCCCCTCACAGTTCGGCTCCGCGCTGTGTCCGCGGACGAGCCTGGCTGAGGCGATGGAGGGGAAAGCTCCTGAGATCTATCTACGTACAAATCACCATGGCTAAGCCTAGTTGCGCCAAGCCATGTAGAAACCCAATGTTTGCATCTAGTCGTTTTCATTCATACCTAGAACCTCGCTCATATAAAGGCAATACTTTCCAGCCAACTTCATTTAGGCAGAAGCTTCTGCCCGTTTCCCTAAAGAAAGCCCAAGGCTGTTCAGGAGGCCTTGAATGAAACAGCTTTTGAACAAAACGCTTGCCACCTACCGCTAGTCCCCAGCCTAAAGTATATTAATTGAAATTTGTGTGACTCAATACCCCCAAAAAGGCTCCACTCCTTTGTCCAACCCAATTACTGACAGTAGCGAGGGGGAACGGGTAAGACGCTCAAAAAACGGGCAAGAACACCCAAGTAAAGGGTAACCGGAAGAACACCTACGCAAAAAGAAAGCAAACTAACAAAACATAGAAACACTAAAGCAAGCAAAAGTGAAACATCAAGTATTACTGTAAATTTGTTTAATCACTATATGGAAAATGTCTGGAACAACTGGTGGGTGGATCCTCATCTATTTAAGCATTGCCGCCGAGGACAGGAACAACTATAGAGGGGAGAACGCCTACAGGGGGCAAGAACGCCTAAGCACCAACAAAGGCGCCTTTACGCAGAATATAGGTAGACATTTCTGACAAAAAATTGCAAACAAATTGCTATATTATCCTGTGGCGGAGTGTCGCGAGGGTTGAAAGACACTGGTTGACCCAAACTTAGGACGTTTGTGCGATTCACCTGCTTTGGACAGCGCACAGCCCAAGGTGTTAGCTGATGAATCGATGGCATGAACTGGTTGATGTGTTTTTAAACTTAGTCTTTCTCCATGCAGATTGGAAATGGACCAAAGGATATCCAGGAAATGCCATAAATTACTCATGCAACACTTATTCTTCAGTGACTGAGGCGACACCCAATGCGTTCGTATTGATGAGTTGAAGGCTGTACTGTTCCATGTGCCCATGGGTTCCATGTTGGTCCCACTGCGGTTGAAAGCGAAGACACACCGCTCGCGTTCCGCTGTGGAAGTGGGCACATCAAGCGCAAACTGAAAATCCACTACACAAGACCCCACGTGAACTCCTCAAATGGGTGAACTCCGGCTTATCAGCTGGCATATGGAACGACAAAAACATGGTAGGGACTTGACGAACGTCCCAACAAAAACAGATATCATGTTGCTGACATTGGCTTCCATTTCCGTGATGGCTTTGGAAAAACCACCCAATGACAATATCCTTGATAAACTTGGACTTCCCTGCCCCGCCTGGCCCGGCAGCTTGGATAAGGCCGCCTGGCGCATGCAGACTGGAGTCCAGGGTTTAAGCGACCACCAACAAATCAATCCAGTTTCATGCAGTTTCCAGTTATTAAGGCAAATACTTGCATGTTGTATCTATTTGAGCGGTGTCAAAAACCGGTCTACGATCTGTTATACTGATGACTTGTTTCCGTGACCTGAGTTTACAAGTTTGCTTAAACTGTTTGTGGGAGGTTTTTGACGCTGCTCATTTGGGTATCGCATCTGCAGTTTCAAGGTCCCATTCAACACCAATGGATAATCCGTTGAAAAAGAGGGACTGGCCCCCAGAAAAGTACACGCTTTGGTCCAAATCCATGTCACAGACCTGCAGGTGTTTCACAGACCGAGCACTGAAAGCACAACCACACGGGTTTCGAAACGTACTTTCCCCACATCCATATGGTGACAAAGTAACAAAAGAGGTTTGGAACCTGCTCATTTGCCCATGCACTGGTTCACCCACCCGGTCACTAGGTGGCCTCCAAGGCATCTCCTGCAGCAGGAGGTATGCCTGAGAGAGCACGCCACTTGCCTCCTCCATGGGTCCCACAATCCAAAACAAATTTGGGGGAACACTATGGGATATGAGACAAACTTGGTGGTCAACATCTGGAGACGGTTGGAGCACTTGCTGTTTTTATACATGTATGTATGTATGTATGTATGTATGTATGTATGAATGGTTCCATTACGTTCAAAGCCACATCAGCCAATAGTTCTCCAACAAAACTGTACGTATGTTATTATGTTACCGTATCTTGTATAAGAAATTCGGCAACCGTCTCAAGTATGCAGAAAAAGAATGCGTTGCCACCTGAGGTTTCTGCATGTTCCCTTTTCGGATGCATTACACAATAATGCCTGCTAGTTAATTAGCCACATTAGCCTAGAATTGAGATCTTGCTGTACAGTAATTTGTCGTTTGTTGTAGACTTCCTCTTGTGTGCAAGAAATGTTGTCCACAGGTGTAAAGGCACGGAAGAAGAACAATCACTGTAGTAATTTTCCTCGGAAAACACTGGCCATATAATGTTCATACATTTCTTTTCACGTTGCTTCAAACGCTGCTTATAGTGTCCCCACTCAAAATGAACACATTTCAATTATGTCATATACCCTTAGAAATCCAAATGTGATGGATTGGTTTTCCCAAGGTCTTTGCGAGCATGGGCTTTGGAATTTTACTCTGTTCTTTCACCATGAAAATGGGAATCTGCCAGCATCAGGGAGAAACGATTCTGGCCTCTGTGCAATTGATTTTCAAGGAGACAACCCGATGGTCTAGCAACGTCCCCGTCTCTAGCTGCACGCCCTGAATCTGGACTTGCCAGTCTGTGCACCCTCCTATTGGAGCTGATGCCCCGACCCATTCAGGCGATTGAAGAACATCGGAAAAAACCGACATCGCATCACAAATTCTGCACACATACCTTGAAGGGGAAAATAGGTCGGATGCGCAGTTCCAGAACACTGCGTCTTCTTTTTCAGAAAGGAGCGCTGTGAGCGTGTGTTTTTCATATAGATGTGCTTCTTGCAAATACCAATCCTGTAGAGGAATAGCTGGCCCTCACTCCAAATACCAAAAATAACAAAAATACCAAACATGCAAAGCCTTAGGTGGAAATACTTTGGATAGTTGGAAATCTTCACCTCGTAGGAAATCAATCTCTGGAGTGCAGCGGATACATGGTTCTTCCACTGCCTTGAAACGAGCTGTGCCATCAGGAGGCTTCTTCCCAATGGAATCTTGCCGGCGCCAGGCTCCCCAAGCATGACCAATGCTGAATGGCCAAAATCCCAGATGTCTTCCAAAATCTGAAGCAACCATGGATGGTAGTACTTGATAGTCAGTGGAATAGGCCATTGATATTCCTTTTTGGCTAAAGCGCCATCTGTTGCCAGATTTCGAAGGGCCTTCTCTACTAGACCAATAGGCCACCCATAGATGGGAGAATCTTTGTTGCGAAGTGCCTTTGTTTGCCATCGAAGTTTTTTGCACTTGACATGTAGATCGAGGACCGAATTTGAGGATATAGTCAAACCCCGCGTCAATGTCCTCATCCTCCTTATCTTCAAAAGGGATGGCCTTGGATCCTTTTACAGCAGCTTGGGATGAGAGCTCGGAGATGATGAACTGCCGCCCGCCCAACCCCTCAAAGGCATATTGCAAGATCTTACGGCCAACCTTTGGATTTGCGTTCATCCACTTTGGCCTGTAGGGGGTGCCATAGACAAGCTGATGGAGCATGGATATCTTACCAAAAGGGGCTGGCAGAAGCTGCAAGTCTTGCTTGTCACAAGCTTCTTTGTACTGGCGCCCCAATGCATGGAAGTCAATGTCTTCCTGATGATCATAGATGATCTCGAAGCAGTGGACTAGAGGCTGGTTTGCGGTTTCAAGCTCATTGGGAGAGATGCCAAGTCAAAAAGACCATGAGGAAGCTCTGGTGTGACATTGGGTGAAATCGTGCGACATGTAAGCCCCTCGACAATCTCCTTCAGGTCTTCGTAGCTCAGGTCTTCGCCAGCTACAGGCATGACCAAAGATCAGGATGACACGATTGACTTAAGTGCAGAAGACTACCCAGAGCAGCTCTCAGAAGGCGATTGATGGATTTCAGATGAATGCAAATTTATTTTACAATCATTTTATGCCAATATTGCCAACATTGAGAAGATGGTCCAAACTCAGAGTTCATTCATTTGAATCATAGTACGTTACAGACAATAGAAGACAGCACTGTGAGTATGTGTATTTCATCTTGCTAGGCTTCCTTGCTGTTGTCTATAAACATAGCTATGTTTACTGAAAACACACACGCTCACAGCCCTCCCCTCTCTATTTTTTTATGCATGCCGCTCGCTCGCGCGGGGGTGAAATCAGGTCTCCGGATTCGAATAACCTGTTCAGAGGATGAACAACAGGGATTGTGTTATAGAAAGTCTATGATCATGATGTGTGCAAATCTATGATACATTGATATAGTATGATATACGTATATCAGTAATTATATTGGCTGTATATGTGTTGGCCACGTGTTGCATTGTTTTCAATTCCGTCATACATTTCCACGCAATTGTGTCACATAAGAACACACACACACTATCAAATTTAATCAATTTTACATAGATGTCAAGGTGCCTTTTACCAACTTGCTTAATCTCATTCTACCAGGCACGCGCTATAGATAAACATATACCATGATAAAGCTGAAACTACCCAAATCTTGGAAATCTCAAAAAACACCCACAATCTAAATTGTGAAAAACACAGCAAATACAAATACAAACAATATATATATATATGTATGAGGGACGGTCAAAACTCCTTATTATTCTTCAGCTAAAAAATGGACGTCATCGGTTTTGAGGTGGACCTTATCGTTTTACAGCGTTTTGAGTTCGTCGCATACTTATGACCATATACAGCGCTGGGGTTATCGGTTTTGAGGTGGACCTTATCGTTTTGCAGGGTTTTGTGCACAAACCTACCCCTCTTTACTAAAGTGGTCTTCGCATGTTTTAACCGTGGCTCATATGTTTGCTTAAGACTCCACAGCCCTTGTCCGTCCGATCCACACCAACAGCAAGCTGCTCTGTGGGAAGTCGATGTGGAAACGGATCACCAGCTTTCCAGCGGTTGAAGGGTCCTGGACAGGATGGCCCAGCCATTCGCGAGGCTCCACGTTCTCTCAAATCGTAAAGCCTGAAGTGAAGGAAAGCCCAATCCAACTTCTGTTTTTGTATGGCCCAGTGAATGGCCCAGTGAATGCCAACGCTTCTGCTTTTGCAGGTTTTTTAATTCTGTTGCAGTGGCCCAGCATGGCCCAGCACATCTAGGTAGATGAATGGTCAGACTGATGGCCCAGCGTCTGTGGGTCTGAGCCATGCCGTGTGTCTATGCGACATCCAGGCACCTATGCTCCAACCCCGAGCGGCTCGCTGGCACTTGTGCGAGCTCGATCAGCGATATGCAAGTCAGGATGCTTCCAGTAGAGAGCTGCTATAGAACCACATAATAAGAGACGTCGATCTATTTACCCGCTAAATGTTTAAAGACATGCTTCACTTGCTGGGATCATCTGTCTTCTTAGTGGGCCACCCTGTTTCGAATATCGTCCCCTTTCTCGTCTTCTCCTCCTTGTGGGGCATCCCCTCACCCTCGATCTGCAAGGCTGATCCCGGCTTCAAGACCTTGGACCCAGCGGTGTTCAGCACCGACCAAAAACACCGACGATGCATACATAGGATTCTGTAGGTGCAAAAATGCACCATGAGCCTGCACATGGGGGTATAGGCTATTTAATGATTCAAGTTACATTCACCAATACATTGGGGTGATATCGAACGATCATGGCAGTTTTGACATATAGCATGTACCCACATCTATGGCCGAAACGCGGGAAGCCTAGTTAGTTGAGATCACCTTTCGCGTCTTGGAACCCGTAAAGACACACGTGACCTTCGCATGAACAATCATGTCCGACTTGCATCTCTGGGACCTTTTTGTGGGTGGCATGGTAATCCAAGTGAGTCCTTCAGGCCAAGATCTTCACGAACAGCAGCTACCTCGGATTAAAACAGTCTCGTATACTAAACATAATGTATATAAAATATGTATTATGCAGATTCATTCAATAACAACAAACTCGCTGGAGATTGCTGCAGCATGATCTGAGCTGTTGGGGACACATCACTGTTGAACACAAAACCGCTGCATCCGGAGATCTAGGTGGCGAGCATCCGAGTTTCACTCCTTCCCATTGAAAGACAACACTCACCCGCTTCTCCTCTTGATGAGCGAAACATCATGAATCGACCCAGAACTACTCTGGGTGAGGTCTAATTATTCCAAAAGAAGCGCCGCCGTTTTGAAGACCCCAGCATTTGGTTTGGCTGGATCTTTTTGGACGTGACTCTGGACCACCATGTACATGCTGAAACACAACATCTGGACCACTCCAACGTCCCTGTTTCCCGCTGGTGACGTGGAAACCACTTCGTCCGACTTCGTTCCCTTGGGTGCCCCTGGCGTCCCCTCGCGGCATGCTGAATCGCACCACATGTCCGTCGAGGTGGACGAGCTGACGCTCAAAGCCCAGCAACGCCTGACCGCGCGGTGTGTGCGCGGCTTTTCAGGGTGTTCACGATCATCTGTTGCTGCAACATGCTGCCCAAACGAGCCACGCACAGTAACCCATGACCCAACAAAAAATGGATTGGTTGGAGAAAATGATTTGCTGAAGCATTTCTTCTACCTTGAAACACACCTATGCAGGCTATAATATAAGTTTGTACTATCCTGGCGCCTGAATGGCTCCAGCCCGCTGGGTTGTTGGTGTCTACAATGCTGTGCTACTGTCCTTTTCTTGCAACTCAAGATCACTACTGTAATCCTTGAGCAAGTTCCTGGAAGGTTGTTAATATTCCCTACAGGGGACGTTGCAAACGTTTGGTTTCCAGCTGCTCCCCGGAAAAGCCTTTAAAGTATCGGAAGCCGGGGACTGAATAATTACGGTATCAACATTCCACTCTTGCGTTCAGCATCGTATAGTTGGTCGAATATGTTGTCGATGTCTTGTGATGTCTTGTGCGAATAGGTCAACTGCTACGGGTTTGAAATAGTGCAGTATATGTAGGGTAAAGAGCTACGGCGCATCATGGGGCCTGCTGTACTTTGAACCACTTGCAAGTTAAGTATATATAAGAGTAGAAAGAAAGCTGGAGAAAGAGTGACAGGAGTGTTGTGCGCAATCTATGTGGCTCATCTATGCAGCAAGAAGAGGAAAATAGATAAGTGATAAGTGAGAAACAAAGAGCCATACATAAATAATCATAAATATCCCAGAGTAAATAATCTGACCACATGTTCTGTAAGTAGCATATTCACATAAACATTATAGCCAACACTGAGCACACTGAAAGAAAGAAAGGTAAACTACAAGAAAGCAACCACTGCGGCGCTCAAGAAACAGTCACAATGAAACAAAACACACACTCGGGATAAGAGTTCCTACGAAAGGCCACCAAGTGCCTAGAAGAAGCCTGCCGGAAAAAAACGGCCTGAGTAAAACAGAAACAGTAATAATTGTACTTGAATCATCTCAAAGATTCCAAGAAGTCCAACCAGAAGTCACAAAACTCTGCAAGACACCGTGCACTGCCGAGTGCATGACCGGTGCAAAGGCTGGCGATCTTGTTTTCGTTCAAAGCAGGGACCATATAAGGTAATCGCAGCAGGTACGTCCGGCTGATCAGGGCAAATATCAGCACTGAGCTTGATCCTCTTCGCTTAATTGCATTATATAACATCGACGCGGCAGCTAAGACATGCCAAACCATGGGGTCCGCATGCGCCCACGCACACAAATGCGCGTCAGGATGAACATAATACGTAACCAAGAACAAGGTTACGAATCCATTCTGTAGCTACAGTGATAATTTGGTTACCGTATCTTCTCCAGCGGGTATATTCTAACTGTACACTGTATTCTCCGTCCAACATCAAAAACCATCAAGCATCAGAACGATATATTCTGACTGCACCTCAAGCAAACCAAACACATCGAGCGACATCGAAAATAACCACTGCGTTTAATACTGACGTTGAAATTCTGACTGCCAGTCCCTGGTATCCCTGACACTACCGCCGGACGTCCGGTCCGGCCGTGGCCTCGGAAAGGCTCACGTGCACATCGGCCATGAGATCGTCGCCCAAACGTTTGAAGACTGGACTCTTTCGCACCTGCCGGATCGCTTGGTTTGGCGGAACCGACATCCATGCGGCAGTTTTTGTGGCGGTGAGTGGGTCGATCAGAAGGTAGATATTCATTTGGGATCATTTGGGGAACCTAAGATGAAAGCGGAACATCGATGAAATATGATGAAATCGATTGGTAGCGGCGGAAGCCCTCCAGTCAGAAGAACCCGCCAAGCTTTTCTCGAAACCCATCGGACATGGCTTTGAGGTAGCTCGCACAGGGGCCAAAAGGGGTTGAATAAGGCACTTTGCCAATGCGGAAACTTAGCGGCTCGCGATTCCTGAATAATGTATATATATATATGATTATATTTGCTATTTGCTAGTAGAATGCCTGATGAAAGGGTTGGCACGAACACTGTGGCTGCAAAACTGTTCGATAATGTTTTTGTGATCTGGCATTGGGATATATTGGGATCAATAAGACTTTGGGGAGTACAATGCCGAGGGTTCTCCCACATCGTTCAGGTCCATTCAATAAACACGTCCAAAAAGCATTATCATGGAGTTGACTGACTGTTCGTTTGATAGCCTTTCATGCCTAGACCGTTTGGTTAGGTTGCTCCTCAGTATCCTAGTCGACAAGGAGTTTCTGCTGCCTGTATGACTTGATCCATAAAGAAGGGAAGTGAGAGGCTCTTGTGGAATACCGTTGTCTTGGAAGCACATTCAACCCAAAATAGGTTCTCTCTGAAGAGACGCACCTTGATGGTGACAAGGGCATCCCCTGCGCATTTGGGCAATGCCCGCGCGGCGTCTTGGGTGACTTTCTGGAAGAGTCGCTGTGATATTATATGTGACACTACCCCTCTGAAACAATATGACTTGGCGGAATTTCAAAGTCCTGTCTGTAGAGCATGATGCGTGCCTCTGACTATCTCACAAAAAAGGAAAAAATAACACATGTTGAGCAAGGACACAATTAAACAGCCAAGATTGCGAACAGAACGACCTTTATGATTTAGTTCTCTTGATGCATTGAACGCCCTGCATAACATGGAAGTGCAAAGCCATCAGTGAAGTGCAAATTAGCAGAGATAGACACGCCTGGGATGTGCTTTGGAAGCTGGCTGCCCATGCTTGGAAAATGTGCTCGGTCACCAAACCTCACGTTTTGGACCAGGAAGAAGCGGAGCGATGCAAACGCGGAGGCCTTGAGACAAACGCACTGGCACTGAAAGGCCCACCGAACGGTCAGATGGGTTGATCTGATCTAGTCTTCACGAACACGACATTTGATTGGGCCAACAGTTGTTGGTCTTGAGAAAAACAACGTAACACAGTACAGTGAAGGACACAGAAGGTAAGGGCCTCCAAACAACGAGGCTCCTCTAAAGGTCTATATAAATTATTGCCTTTTTAAAGGGGACCCTTACGTGCTTTTACACTATATATAACAATAGAACCCTATATGTATTATATATTCGCACGTCGCACTATACTATTCACTAGACAATATAATATATATATATATATATGTATTACATATTACAGAATATCATCAGTACAGCATCGTGTTTTTTCGAGAATGCCCACCTCCATTCTGGGCCCCCACATGGTGCCGCGCTCGATCTGCAACTTCAACTTCTGTCGATCCCAGGTGCAGCGCTCGTCGCTGGGCACCTGTGGGCGATGTTCGCGCCGACGAGGAACCGTGGGAACCCCCTGGGTGGGTCGAGCCGGACAATCCTGACATTTGTGGGAAGCAACGGTTTGGATGTTTGCACCTGTTGGATCTTGGAAATCCGGAAATCACTGCAGGTCAACCTGTTTCCACCTGGATTTGAGTGGCTTTCACATGCTTTCACCAATACCCCCGAAAAGCTTTTGCATATGATCCACTTCTCCTGGGTGCAACAATTGAACTGTGGCCTTGAAGGTCCCCAATCCACAGGCCATTGCTACAGCCTTTGTACGGGTGATTTGGTCGCTGGCCCCCTTCGTGGCTCAGCTGATTTGACAGATGGAGCGAGCCGAGTGAGCTGCTCAGTTCTGGACATGTTCGCCCGGGCGCATCGATCACGTTTTAGTGAGAAGAAACAACTGAAAAGCACTCTGGCGGATGAGGGCTGTTGTGGGTCGTTGCTGTAGAAAAACACGGTGCATCTCCAGCAAATTCAGGATCCGCAAACAGCGAAGTCAGTGAAGTCATGTGGCACGAAAAGGAGGTCTCATTGAGTGACATGGAGTGACGATCGGATTTCAGCACCTAACCCACGGAACCTGATCAAAATGCATTCAGCAGCTCATCTCTTCACAACCCTCTTGTGACTCTCATGTTACATGTTGTTGTCGTCGTCAGAATCAGTAGACTCATGTACAAGTAGACTCCCTGGCACAATAAACTCATCAGCTATCCCAAGCGTCCCAGTTACCGGTTGGGGTGGGGCAAAACGCAAACACTCTCACACACCAAATCCGCCGCCAGGAATCCCAAACTGCAATGAATTTGGTTCCGGTGATTCATATGATGTTGCTTTCCCACCATATATAGAGATATAGAGCATTATAGAGCTCTCTGTGGCTTTCTAAAGCATTTTGTGGATGCAAACCTCATTGACGGATGTGAACTGAGCTCTCTCCCGACGGGTCCTCCATGTGAGGTACCCTTCAGTCACCCCGGGAGACGTCGCCTCGTACTCCTCGATACGATAATGCCACCTCGGTGGACCAGGCGAACAAGGAATGGGCCGAGGTGATTGACATGTATTGGATTTCCCAAAATGGGATCAACATTGATATTTCGCACATCTGAGGATCTCTGCTTTCTGTTGACTTATAAAGGGTGTCTCAATATCCATGTGGAAACCTTTTGCGAACCTGTCTAATGAGAAGATCCGAACTTGTCGCTGGACCTCTGAAAATCTCGACGCCAGAAAGCACGGGACGCCGTCGCGAACACCAAGCCTAGAAGAACTGGTTCATTTGTCTGTGGTTGTTTGGGACAACTAGAACGACTAAGCCGTCAAAGTTAAAAGTTCACAAGCTACCTTGGATCGAAAAGGCCCTGAATGTCCTAGGCAGTTCACAGTGACCCGTAGAGGCAATTTCGCCTGTATGATGCTGGAGGCCGACAGTACACCTTGAATCAAGTTCATCTTGAATCAACCCTAGGCATCCAAGACCATTCAAAGAAAGGTTGACCTGGTTGCGTAGTGTAAAATCATTAGTAACACAATGGTAGTTCGGTAAAAACAATTAAAACACTGGTTGTTGGAAGCCTAGGGTCAATATCAACTTGCCTGAACACGTGGAAGGTACGAGTTCCTGCCAAGTATCATGCCAAGAAACTACCTTTCCTGAACAACGCTAATCCACCATCACTCCACTAGACTCCACCATTTCTCCACTTCGATGACATAACCAGTAGCCTTGAAAATCCTAACTGAAGCCACATCACCTCACCATCTTCAACCCGAAAGCCTTCGCCAAAGGGGCTGATCCATCCAAACCTGTCGCTGCCGCCGCTCTCCGGGGCAGGCTTGGCACTTGCGGCAGCGCGGCAACTCGGGCCGCAAACGGCAAGACCTGGACTGAGGGAGCGAAGAGTGAAGAGGGCCATGGTGGGGCCATGGGCCACGAGTGGAGCCACGGATACACCAGGTGGTTCCAAAATGATGCACAAATGCACAGGTTTCCTTTGCTGGGGTCTCCTTCGAGTTTCTGCTTGTGAGTCCAGTCATCCTTGCGGACGTTCAAAACACACAACTAAACACACCATCCAAATGGGGTTGTGGTACTCAGGTTCAAATCAAGAGGCGGCTCTGCGGCTCTGTGGCTTCTTGAGAGTAGCAAACTGAGTAGGAGATGGTTGCTGGACATGTGCCATTTAGAGTGGTGTGCCATAGTACTGTCACATCTCATGTGTTCCTCGAAAAGGCCAGCAGGTCATCACACTAATTGGTTTTAAGGCCAGTGGATCAATTGCCTCACACCCTTCAGACCTACAGCTTGTCGTGGTCCACGCCCCAAATGCATGGAGAATCCGGAGATGGGAAAATCAATCACCATAAATCATCCATCACAAAAAAGCCTCTCTGCGTGACACCCGTCTTCGGCTGTCCTTTTTCGGAACCTACATGTCTCGGCTTCTTCGAGAACTGCATCATCTATCTTTATCCTTTTATATATATACTATATATCGTAGATATATAGTAGCGTCCTCGTTCCTAGTAAGTAGTAATGCCAGGAGCTACTAGTAGCGTCCTTGTTAGCGATGCACCTTGTTACTTAGTAGCGATGCCCTTTGCCATGGACGCGCCTGCAAACCACGCGGCGGTTCACCGTAATCTCCTGCAGGCGTCCGTGGGGCGTCGGGTCCATCGTGGTTGGGATTCCAAAAACAGGAGACGATCCCAAGGGGTTGTCGTGAACCCAGTGGGATGGGTTAGAGATCCCAAGAGGACAAGCTTACTTGTCCTTTATAATTCTGAAACTTCTCAGACTGGAGAACACTTCCTTGACCATTTTCAGCTGATCCTTGGCTGATTCTGAGTGCTCATTGTGTGCTCTTGGTTTGATCATTCCCTTTTGTCCTGGGCCACTCATGCTTTCATATGCCGACGGCGTCCTTCTCGCCTCCCTTGTAGGCCTCCTCCAAACTAATCTCGTGGTTCACCTGGCATGGCCGGTGCAGGTGCGCTAGCAAGAATCGATGGGGGAGGCGTTTGCCCGTGGTGTTAGTGTTTTCTCTACAGGTCCCCCGGCGGTCCCCTTCACCTCCGGCGCAAAATCAATTCAGCTAGGGAGAGAGGGCCCTCTGGAAGAAGTCATCTTCACAAGACACCATGTCGTGCCGAAATTCCCGGGGAAGAATTCGTTCATGCCATGCACAAAGGGTGACCTGCATTGTCCTCTACAGTGCTAAACAGCATGCAGCTGGGTTCCGGGATGCATCTGCTATCCGGCGCAAGTAAGTAAGGATCAAAAACATCCAAAAAGCTGAAATCTTCGAATCCCGCAGTACAAAGACGAACCTCAAATCGATTCCTCTCCCAAGTTCAGTCTCATCAAAGCGGTTGAAGGAGCCGAAGCGGCTAAACGAACATCGATTCGATGTCACCGCCGAACACCTCGAAGTTATCCACCCGCTCGATCTCGCCGTCTCCATCTGGCGGTGAGAAATGCTGAGGGTGGCAGTGGAGGGAAGTGGTTTTCATCTGCCACAACTTAACACGGTGGGTTGACTGTTTTGAGCTCAGAAGAAAATCAATGGTGAACTATTTTGTTCATGTGTGGTGGGGCCCACATCAACATGAACATTCGACATCCCGACTCTAGACCGACTTGGATTCCCTGTTTGTTCTGGCTCTGCAAAAGTTTCTCGTTCTATGCAAAAGCCCGTGAAAGTGGAAAAGGAATGGAACATTAATCATTAGCTGCATTATGCCGCATTATGATCATTGGAACAAGCATATTTATGGTATACATGTATACATATTCATATAATATATATATATATAGACTCTGGTTTGACCTCCTGGTGCTAGGTCCGAGGTTTGCGTCAGAAAGATCCCAACTGGACATTTTGCCGGAATACTGTTTTCCATTTCGGGCTCAAACCTTGGCCAGCCAAGGTTTTGGAAAAAAGCAATCCCAATTTAAACGAAAGGGACTGCCTTTAACTTATTTTGGTCTCATGCGGCCTAAAGGCTTTCTCACTGGAGTTCCATATTAAGAGACCATATTTTAATGGCAGCATCCCTTGTGACCTTTGATGAGAACATAGTCGAGCACGGCCAAGCACCACTACATACTGCAGGGGAGATCCTGCGTAGTTCCATCAATTCTGGTCATTTGCACCACAAAACCCGTCTCGGCCGACCCTTCTCGTACTTCTTCACGAGATCCATGCCACCTGCTGGAAGCCAACTCAGCTGAGGATTAGATCCGGCAGCTCTGGAGGCCTACAGGACCACAGAATATATTGATGCTTCCATGGCGAGGTAGTTAGGTGGTACCTGAACTTTGAGTCAAAGCCATTTGAAGGTTGAGTTTCTGGAATTCATCCTGTATAGGTAAACCATTCCTGCTCTGGGGCTGACAAAGTGACAAAGGGCCCAGGGAAACTCATGCTCGTACCAAACATCAGGGAGGTATTGCAGCTGTTACGCCCCAAAAGAGAAGCACTCTAAATTGAAGCTCGTGCCATGCTCTAGCATACCGCTCAGACAATTCAACTACCAAGGGTCCGTGTTTCCTACTAGGTTTGGGTCCACCCATATGCAGTTGACAAAAAGCAGAACAACGAAGACGAAGCCAGACCAACAACTCTGATAGAGACGAGGTATGAGCCGATCGGATGGCCCGATCGGCCTGTGTCATAGAGGAGCATCTTCACTGGATCGCTCAAGATCTCATAGGCATCTCGGATCCTTGCAGAACACAGTCCACATGTCTCCACAGATGTTTCCACACGGAAAATGGATGAGTCTTTCAACAGAAAAACAACACAGAAAGGCTTACTTGGACAGCAGCACCTATAGTCGGACAGTATATTTACATATCCATGTATTCTCAACAGAGCATCATGGCCCATCTGTTTTCATGCCAATGATGTGGCATCCGCCGAACTGCCGATCTCTCTTCGTCTCGTGGTTGGGTTGGTCTTGGAGCCAGGCATTCTGTGTCACCGGACTGGTGGTCCCAAGAAACTGGACGTGTAGATGTTGGTGTTTGACGGTCTTTTCCACAAAGCAATCTGGGTAGCACATCTTGCCTAAGCCCTAAATGACCTCTCAACTTTGACTAATCCCCAAGCCTGTCGCCAATGGAGATTGCCCCCAAAACGCCCGACGCTTGCGCTTGGCGAACGGAAGCGAAACAAACAAGAGAAAACACACATCCACGCCTACCGAAGAGCTCGGCGGACTCGGGATTCTTGTCTGGGTGGTACTTGATGGAAAGCTCACGATAGGTCCTCATTGTGATCTCCCGGGCGAGCCCCAATCTGTGGGTTCGGCTCATGGCGGCATTCAAACTAGTAAGAAGCCAGTTATGTCCCTTACACAATGGACAGCATGGAAATCCTGGAAACCGTCAAGAACAAACAAACACACAATATAAGAAACATTCAGTATAGACCTTTATCATGAATTCGTCAGTATCTCTCAGTATGGGTTTGTGTCAACAAGAACAACTGGTCAACCCCAATTTGGTTTGAGATGACCTCCGTGTCAACACAAATCCACAGACGCAGCATCCAAATTCTCAGACTTGAAAGTGGGCCTTCTACTTGCAAAGCCAACCAGCCAATCTTGCGACACTACTCCCATGGTGGTGCGCAGAAATTCAGCCAGAACAGCTGCAGCGATTTGTGTCTGGATACAGTAAAACCCTGGGTGCACTTGGATACCCTCGGTTGTCAGGAACAAGCCATGAAGAAACAAAAGAGCGGAGAGAAACTCTGCTCCGTTTGGTCCAGTGCAGGCAGTTGGACCAAACATGAAAATATGTGTTTTTGTAAGTAGATGATGCGGGTGCCAATTATATTCAGAAATGATCATAAACCATACATAAATCATACATATGATTATTTTTTTCAATTGAGTCTAGCTCAAAAGGAGAACACCCTTTGCAAGCCGGCGGGTTTCTCTTGCCACGTGGGAATGAGACTACTAAGTGGGCGCAGGAGTTGCAGCAAGCCCAACATATTCCCGTATAAGTACCACCAGTATCCACCAGTCCTCTTCAAAGAAGCGCGATCGATATCTGTGTTCTCCTGCCGGCTGTTGCTGTCAGGCAGGAAGATTCAAACAGGCACAGGCAAATAGAGTGGTCATGCATGGGAGGATTTGGTAAAAGACCATGTTTCAACCACTCGTCAGGGACATTTAGTTCATTTTTGTTCTCAAATGGCTATGGCTCAAAAATTGGGGAGCCATCCCGGGATGACACAATTGGTCCCCTCCTCGATTCCCTTGTGCCATAGCCAAACCATTGACAATGACCCGGCCCTTGGTGGTTTGGGAACACGGTGGAGCAGCAAATGCACTTCCTGGGATCCCTCCCTCCACGATGCCACGATGCCACGATGCCAAGCCTTGCCTTCCCGTCATCTTCCATCTCCTTAGCTTTGCAAAACGTGGAAACCATGTGGGCATGGAAAAGTACCCCCCCCCTCCCCTACGATGTAGCCGTACCACCAGAAGTCCCATAAATAGAAGCAACAAAAACCACGCATCGCCCCGCCTACCGCAGTACCCATTCCTCCTCGCCGGTCCGCTCGACCGGTTGATCCCCGCTACGCCGGTCCAATCGCCGAGGCACCAGAGCTTCGAAGAGCTCCGACAAGTCCCCGTCCTCCGCCATCTTCGACCGCCGCTTCTCGGCCTCCGAAGAGACGGGCGATCCGTTCGAGCTCCGTTCGGCTTCTTTTGGGAAGAAGATTGGGGTGGAGACCACTATAGTCACTATTACACAAATGTTTGGGTATTTATAGGCCACAGGTTGATGTTGAATTTGATCACAATCACACTAAGATGTGAAGAGCGTACTACAGTCGTTGCATTGTTGATGTATTGAACGGACTGAGGGGTCCGTTCATGATGAATTCAGGCCCACCAAACTTGGATCTCTCTTGACGATATGATACCAAAGGGGTTCTGTAGCTGGCCGGCCCGTTGCTGAGCAAGGTCTACCTGTCCGGTCGAAACTGACGTCGTGTCTGTTCCGATGATCGTTCGACGTCGCACGTCGATCGGTCCGGTCTCTCCCGCCTTCTTGAGAAAGTCAACCATGGTCCGCATGAGCCTCAGGCGGTCTCTCCGCCCAGGACGGCCAGGCCACTAACTAGATCCCAATAAAACAATAAGAATTACTGGGTACAGTACCTTAAGACTTAAAGCTTATTGGGCCAAACAAGGTATGTGAAAGAGAGGACCTTCCTTTTGCTTCGCCGCTGAACGAGGTCCCTGTTTCATGACTGATCCATCTTGATTTTGCGTCATGCGTAGGCTCCTGGGTGACTTGTCTATGAAGGGCGGTCCACACAAGAACAAACCAATCGCCCCTATTTGATTAAGAAATCTTTTCTCCACGGTACTGCTGTTGCTGAACCACCTCCTGCACCTCCCGGCTGGGTCTTCACAATGGATGACGATGGCAATTAATCAGTATTGTACATTTTTGTAATGTACTCAACAAAAAATAGGAGTCGCTTGATCATTGTTCTAACAGTTCTATTATCTAATAGACTGTCAACAAAAATACTCTGTTTGCATCTTTGGGTATCTTGCTTGGACACTTGAAAGTCCACGTTCAAACAACTTTCTTGTTAGCATGTTGTTTATCATTTTATCACATCTGCATGTAATGTTTGTTGTGACACTTCTCAACTTCATTAGTTCTGCACAATTCTTGAGACGAGGTTCTTCCTCGTTGGTCCATTTACCCTTCCAAGTGGTCAACCCAGGAAGTCCACTGACAACCCCCCAGAACCTGCTGTCCATTCCCAACCTGGGAAGGAGACAGCTGGGACAGTGAACATGCGAGAAGTCCGGCAGGAGTGAAAGGATCACTTCCTGGTCCGACCAGTGTTTTTACATTGAAATCTGATGGACCTCAATGCAAAGCTTTTCAACATCGTTTCTCTCCATGCGGCTTGTCCCGCGCAGTCTCGTCCACGTTGGCGCGCAGCAGCGCACGCAAGAGGTCAGCGACCGCCTACAGGACAGGAATCGGGACATGTGAGGCATTGGCAACACAAGCTGCACATATCTGATCGGCCAACAAGGTGCACTGAATCTGGAATTTGCTTTCTCCAAGTTGGACTCAAAGAGTGCGGACAAATGCATGCATTCTTGAAGCAACCGAAAAAAAAAAAAAAAAAAAACTGCCACTGAAGTAATCTAAAGTATATATATAGATTAGATGTACCATGAATATATAGATGAATATAGTATGTGATGCAGCAGTATTGGTTTTCTATAACACATTGTTCCACGGTTCATGGTTCAGGCCTTCCTCGTCCCATATTGGTTCATGAAAGCATTGACAGAAAAAAAAACAAAACAGATCCTTTGTGTGACAACATCCCGAAAACACGACATGTGATACACACACACCAAACTATCTGACCGACCGGAGACCGACGTTCCGACTCCCTGGGTTCGGGTGTCTTCCGACATCTCGCTGACCACGAGATGGCGAGGTCCCCCACCTCGGGGTACTCCTCCTTCCGACCATGTTCAGCTGCACGGCGGCTGTACCTGGCGACCAAACACACGAGGTACAGCCGACCCCACTGAAGGGTGTCGTGTCACAGGAGCCGCACCTGAGTCATGTAGATGTGGTTCACAATAATAGACTCAAACACGCAATGTTTTAGCCTACATCTTCCAAGCCTTCCATCTACGGGCTAGCTTCTAGAACAAATACGTCCTATTTGGAGCAGTGTCACCATGTCAAGCACTACAGTAATTTGTGGAATGTCACATATCAATATCAGTCCATCTTTGTTTTCGGGTTCGACGCAGCTCCATCCACAACATGAAATCACCAGGGTTTGAGGGTTTTGAGCAAAACTGAACCTCACTGACTAACCGGCGGGACACTGTGCAAGGCTGCGCCGTGTGTAAAGATTGGCACTCGAAGCACTCCCTAGTGGAACATGCTCAAGAAAGATCTCAAGCAGCTCAAGTAGGACTCTATCGACCTCAAACTAGTCACATGAGATCGATACATATGGAGACAACCTGAGAGGTGTGGATACTGGCTTGGATTCATGGCAGATTGATGATGCCTCGCTTTGCAGCTTCAAAAGGAGAATCTCAAAAGACACTGCATTCTCTCCCAAGACTTTCACACCTTCAGCCCCATTGATGGTCACCAGTGATGGGCTGGCCCAGGCCTAGGCGTCATTGCCCCACCCATGAGGCGCACTGACCGCCCGTCTTGAGCAGCCTATACCGCTCCTGCCAACGCGTGAGGCTTGTTGGCTTCAAGTTACCATCATCACGCCACTAAAAAAGTATGAATATAATGCTGCTTGGTGGGTTCTTCTTTTGTGCATAGCGGGTGCACCAACAGCAGGAACATCCCTGAGACAAAGTGTTACAGTCACGCACAGATGTTTGGAAGCTCGTGCTCTCTGCAAACACATTGCTAAAGTAGCCTCAACCTGGAGCTGTAATTTACAGGTCAAAACACCGCACCAATGACCCCATTCACGTGACCATGAGTCTGCTGCAAATTCCTCAGACCCAGCTCTTCTGCATCATGCAGAACGAAACATATCCCACCAAGCTGCAATGCACGTCAGACCATTATTCAGACTCCCTGGCGTTCCTTCAGTGTTCAGGGCCTTTTTTGTTTTTCAAATCCCGTGCTCCAAAGCGCCCCTCGCGGAGAAACAGCTACCTTCTTTCTCCACCGAAATCGTTGAAATCCATGTCCTAGAGATACTATCCTCGACAAAGCACGACAAAATTCTTGCCTCTATCGTTGAACTCTCCTGTCCTGTGGTGTGTTTTGGCCCAACATCTGGGGTGGCAAATAGCCAATGGCGCCGGTCTCTGCCTCCGCAACAAGTCATCCCAGTGAAGCGGACGAGGAAGAGGAGGGTTGCTGTTGCTGCTCCTGTTGTTCATGCTGTTTGGTCACTCTTGTGGTTGCTCTTGTTGTTATTGTGATTGTTTCAAAAGGTACAGCGCTTAAGCTGGTACATACAAAACCTGATTGTGATATCAAACATGTGAGGTGGGGGTACATATACAAACACCAACCAAGCATTCGTGACTGCAGGCTGGGTTTCCACCTAGTTTCAGTCTTGAGCCGTTTCTTCCATCCTGAGTAATTAAAGATGTTTGGCCTGAAACTAAATCTGTTGGGTGGCATTCATTGCCTCATATAGCCCAGTTCCATTTCCACATAAGCATGAGCACCTCATTCAACCCAACATCTCTGTCTACGTGTCGGTTTCGGGG